CTGTCGGCGGGGGAGCGACCAGCGGCCGCTCGGCACGGCTGTCGCCACCGGGCGCTGTGGCACTGCTGGAGCCCGCCGGCACTGGCCCCGCTGGCGGCGGCGACGCCTCGGCCTCGGCGGCGCTGGCGGCGGCGGACACAAGCGACTGCCCCGCGCAGCAATCGCCGCTGGGCGCTGCAGCACCGCTGGCGCCAGCTGGCGCCTGCCCCGCGGGCACCGGCGCGGGCGCCGGCGACGCCTCGACCTCTGCCCGCGGCGGTGCGGCGAGCGGCCGCCCCGCGCGGCGGACAACGGCGGAGGCTGCGGCACCGCGGCCGCCCGTGGGCGCCAGCGCCGGCGGCGCCTTGGATTCGCCGCCTGCTGGGAGCGGGGGGGGCTCGGGCTCGGGTTCGGGCTGCGGCTCGTGCTCTGACCCGTGCTCGGGCCCGTGCCCGTGCTTGGACTGGGGCCCGGGCTCGGGCTCGGGCTGGGGCTGCGCCTCGGGCTGGGGCTGCGGCTCGGGCTGGGGCTCGGGCTGGGGCTAGGGCTGGGGCTGGGGTTCGGGCTGGGGTTCGGGCTGGGGCTGGGGCTGGGGCTCGGGCTGGGGCTCGGACTGGGGCTGGGGCTGGGGCCTGGACTGCGGCTCGGGCTCGGGCTGGGGTGCGGGCTCGGGCTGGGGCTCGGGCTCGAGCTCGGGCTCCGGCTCTGGCTCTTGCTCCAGCTCCTCCGGCTCCAGTTCGGGGTGGGGGGGCGGAAGCGCCGGGAGCTGCTGGGACCAGGGCCCCGTGAACGGGGACAGCGGTAAGCCAGGAAATGGGCGCACACGGGAAAGGCTGCAGCGGTGGGTCGCCATGTTCTGCATTCTTAGTTCTCTCCAAGTGGGGTTTGAAAGTCCCGATTCGCAGTGACCTGGTTGACGTGGGGGGGGGCCTGGGGAGACAGCGGGGCGCTGACGCCGGGAGCGCTGGGAGCTGCGGGGTGCCGAAGGCAGCGCAGCACAGGTGTGCAGTGCAGAAGAAGCTGTGAATCGGATCATGGGTCACTTGCTGTGTTTGGCGCTTTGGGCACCGCGCCCTCCCAGGGCACCGCCCCTCCCCCCATCCCGGAACCTCCCTAAACCTCAGTAGGATCACGCGCGGAATTCCAAGCTCAAGCTGAAGCAGCCAGACGCAGCGAGCAAGCAAGTTCATGCACAACAAAGAAGATGCAAGCATTAAGCATTGCAAAACACATCCGCATTGCAAACAACTGTGCTTCTGATTACGGGTCACTGTGATTGGCGCTTTGGGTACTGAGTCCCCCAGGAACCTCCCCGAACCTCTCCCGCCTCCCACGCGGAATCCTAGGCTCAAGCTGAAGCAGCCAAACGCAGCAGAAAAGTGCGCAGCCCCCCCCCAAAGGAACAAAACATATGAATGATAGCAGAAGGGCAATGCACAAAAACCTGCAATGCAAAAAAAGGTGTATTCCTGATCACGGATCACTGTGGTTGGCGCTTTGGTCACCGCACCCGCCCTACTAACCAAACCGCTCCCATCTCATACACGTCAGCAGACAAACGCTAAATCAAGCTGACGGGGCTGCCTTTAATCTTCAAGTTCTGAAGATTCAGCTAAAGCCGCTTGCATTTTAATTGCTCGGCGTCCCGCCGTGCGCTATACGGCCAAGAGCTTTTTCTTCGCGCCCCTGTGGGTGACTTGCGGCGGCGGCGGCGGCATCGACGCCGACGACGACGCCGGCGACGAAGACGACAGCGGCTCACATGGCCGACTCCAGAAACCCGAATCGAAAAAACATGTGCGTCCCACGCTTGCTTCACGCCACCTTCCGCCAGCCGTCGGCCGGCCTCCTCCTGTGCAAGCAACCGCGGACACAGGGTCGGTGCAAGACCGCTTAGCCCCTCATTCTGGCCAAAAACGCTTCCCCCAAAATGACTACAAGACTTTCAAGCCACTCTGTGGGGGATGCTGCCTCTACCCACTGGGCCCGCCGTCGTTCTACCTCCGTTGGCCGCCGCCGACTGGGGAGACGCGCCGAAGGCCCGGCCCTTACGGAAGCGCCCCCACGTGCAGTCCTCGGGGGGAACGAAGGGGGGGGACAGCAAAGGGCAGGGCAGAGAATCAGCTCACGTAGCTGATTTTCCCAGCGCCTCCCGGCGCTGGGAGGCGCCCATGTATCGAGGAATGGGCCCGGCGGCGGGGCCGAAACCAGCTGCATGCAGCAGACTTCGTACCCCCCCCCCCTTTCCCTACCCGCCCCCCCTTTCGTTCGGCCCGATCTTCGCTCCTCAGTCAGTGGCTGACGGACGAGGAGGCTGTTCCGGCCACGGCGAGCCTCGGCCACGAAGAAGCTCCTCGACCCAGAGCAGATCTCGGCCGGGAAGCCAGGACGACTGGATCTAGATCCAGGCCTGGGCTCAGGAGGGGTTCTGGTTCCTGGGCCGTTCCCTGGATCACCTGGGGACTGGCCCGAAGGCCAGAGTCCCTCCTGAATCCAAACCCGGACCCCCGACGTCATGATTTTTCACAATGTGGGCCCCGAGGTCTGGACCACCTCCCGAAGACCAGCCTTTCGCCCCGAGTTTGTTTTTTGACGGTCCTGGGGCCCAGCGAGGACTCTCGGAGCCCAAAAATATGTAAAAACCCTCCGGCGCGATTTTTCCCAACCCTTCCTTGGTAAGGTTCTCATTTTGAATAAAGCAGTGGGGTCTCCACCTTCTCCTCCTCCTCCTCCTCGTCCTCGTCGTCCTCCTCCTCCTCCTCCTCCTCCTCCTCCTCCTCCTCTTCCTCCTCCTCCCCCTCGCTCTCATTTCGGCTCCCTCCTCTCGCATCCCATGGGGGGTTGCGAAGCGTGAAACTGCCGCCACTTTCGAGGGCTGCTGGTTGAGCCCGCACAGTGGGGCCACGCGCGGATCCAAACGGGACCTCGCCATCCCTGGGGGGCTGCGAAGTGTGAAACTGCCGCCACTTTCGAAGGCTGCTGGGGGGACCAACACGGTGGGGTCCCACGCAGATCCAAACGGGACCTCGCCATCCTGAGAGGGGGGAGTTGCGAAGAGTGAATCTTTCGCCACTTTCGAGGGCTGCTGGGGGGGCCAGGGGAACTCGCCATCCCTGGGGGGGGGTGCGAAGTGTGAAACCGTCGCCGCTTTCGAGGGCTTCCGGGGGGGCAGCACAGTGGGGCCCCACGCAGACCTCGAGGACCTCGCCATCCCTGAGGGGGGGGCTGTGAAGTGTGAGACTCTCGCAACTTTTGAGGGCTGCTGAGGTGCGCAACACAGCGGGGTCCCACGCAGATTCAGTGGAGGAGGAGGGGTTGGGGAGGAGGAGACGGGGGAGGAGGATGAGAAGGAGGCGGAGGAAAAGGTGGATGAGGACAACGAGCAAGAGGAGAGGGATGAGGAGGACGAGGATGAGGATGAGGAGAAGGACGAGGAGGAGCAGGGGCAGGAGAAGCAGGAGAAGCAGGGTATGCAAAAGGAGGAGGAGGAGGAGGAGGAGGACGGAAGAGCAGGAATGGGAGCAGGAGCAGGAGCAGGAGGAGGAGGAGGAGGAGGAGGACGACGAGGAGGAGGAGGAGGAGGAGGAGGACGAGTAGGAGGAGGAGCAGCAGGAACAGGAGGATGGCGAGGAGGAGGAGGAGGAGGCACCACCATGGCATGTCAGGTGCGCCGAGACAGGAAAAAGGCAGGCGCAGAAAAGTAGGGCGAGACGAGCGAGCGCAGCACGAAGCCAAGAAGAGAGAGGCAAAACACGAAGCAAAAGCCAGGCGAATTACCGAAGACGAAGCCAAAAGCAAGCGTCATCAGAAGACTGGAGAGGGCGAGGCTCGCCCCTCCATTCCCCCGAGATCGGGTCCTTACCCGCCTCGAGGGCTCTAAGATATGTAGTGTCCTTGCTGGATGCAAGACCCGAGCAGACTCCCCAAAGACGGGACCGCGGGGCCGACGGCTGGGCCCTGGCCCCACAACGGCGGCAGAATGCAAGGGTAGACCCGGCAAGGACGATGGCATGACCTTTAGCGCTAGCTGGCCCGACAGGGCCGTGAGCGGGGAGGGGGAGGTCGGGAGGGACGGCATCCCGAGCGACCCAAGACTCCACTTGCCGCTGGCCTCCAGAGGCCTTGTCCCTCTTGGGGGGGGATCCACCCTGGGACTCCCAGGCCTCTTGGAAGGCCTGGGCGGGGCGGCAGGGGCACCAACCCGCGGCGCCTTCAGGCGCGGGCCCCCTGAGGCCCCACTGCCGTCAACCCTACTCTCCCCCTCACCCCTGGCCCGAGCCTTGCTCGGAGGGGAGGGTGGACGTTTGGGCTCCACGGAGTCGTGCACCCGCGCGGCCTCTGCAGAGGGCCAGCACACGTCCGCGAGGTCGAGATCCTCTCTGCTCGGCCTCGCTGCGGAACCTCACCCGTTTCAACGCCGGGAGCCGCTCGGGGCCCTCCAGAACCGAGGCCGGCGGCTCTGCATCAGGCTCGGGCTCCTGAGAACCCTCGACCACGGCCGCGGGGGGGCCGTCACCAGCGAACGGGGAAGGGGTCGAGGCTCCGCCGGGCGCCGCAGGGCCATCGTCGGGCCCCGCGCAAGCCACAGCCCGCGGCGAAAATCCTTGGCCCCACAGGGCCGCCGCCTCGGCCACAGGACAGGTCAAACATTTGAGTTTGCGCGCTCCCGCCTTGGAGGCGGCAAACGCAGGGCATCGCTCACACTGCCAACGATTCCGTTTTCCACGAATAAGGAGGCGGAGGGTGAGGGAAAAGAGGCGGCGCAGGCACCGCGGGCGGCGCGCAGGGGCCGTCAGTTCCAGCTCCTTCTGCGGCGGCAGGCGGCGGCGCCTCGGCCGCTGGCCGCCCGCGCTGCTCCCTCCACCGCCGGCGGAGCTCCGCGGGGCGGCGCCTCGCGACCTCGACCCTGTCGGCGGCGACGGCGCCCGTCCACTGCAGCTTGGACGCGCTGGCGATCCATGCAGCGGTCTGGCGCACGCGGTCCAGCGCGCGGCCGTGGTGCTGCACCACGCGGCACGGCAGGTCGTGGAGCCTGCGCCCACGTTTGGCCGCCTGGTCGGCGAGGTCGTTGCACCTGCGCTCCCACGTGTCCTCCTTCTGGTGGCCACGCACGCGGGTGAAGGTGAGGGGCGCGGGGCCCCTGTCGCCGTCAGCCTCCGTGCCACCGTGCTCCTCGATGTAGTGCCACAGCCGCTTCCATATATCGGCATTGTCGCGAGCAGCCGCCGTGCACCACCTCTTGCCTCGAGCGAGGCCGTCAATGAAGGGGAGGTAGTCCGTGTAGATGCGAAGCGGGGCCACACCTGCAACCAGCACCTGCAGCATTTCGTGCAGCTCCGCTCTGGCCGACGTCTGCCGTGGCCCAGGCAAAGGGCCGA